CACACACACACACACACACACACACAGCACACTGAGATTACAAGCTCCCATGACCACATAGGATTTTTCACATAGGTTCTGAGAACTGAACTCAGTCCTTGCAAGCACATTACCAACTAAGCACCTCCCCAGTCCAAAAGGATGTAGTCTTAATACAACCACCAACTTTTCCTCTCGGTGTCCCCTGATGACACAGGTTTGTTTTGTGGCTTTGTCTTCAAGGTGTTTGTTTTGCTTTTTGAGACAGGGTCTCACTAGATAGCCCTGGCTGGCCTGAGTAAAACAAGCTGTCCTCAAACTCAGAGATCCACCTTCCTCGACTCTGCCTCCTAAGTGCTGGGATTCAATCCTGAAGACGCAGGTTTTAAGTAGTCTTTGCACACAGCTTCTTGAAAATATAGTATTAGCTGTTCTATCATCTTTGTCCCAGTACTTCAGCATCAAATAATTCTAGCAAAATTTCTAATGCTTTTACTCCACATGTGCTTCTCAATTTTCTTGATAAATCTTAGGTGAACTGAATGTTCACCATGATTTTTCTAATCAACAAGCTCATCTCACAGCTTATTTTTGGCCCTTCAAGATATGCTGTTACCTATGCTAGTATTTTTTTTAATTCTTTTATTTAATGATCATCATTAGACCTGGTGTGGAAGTGTAAGCTTGTAATTCCAGCACTGAAGAGGTAAGAGGACCCAGAGAGACAGGAAGAACACAAATTTGAGGCCAGCCTCAATTACACAAAGTTCGTGTCAGCCAGAGCTACACACCAAGACACTGTTTAAAAAAAAAAAAGAATTTAATCCAGAACAAAAACAAACCAAATTAAGAACATCTAATCAAAGCCAAATGGTGGTGGCGCATACCTTTAATCCCAGCAATCGGGAGGCAGAGACAGGCGGATCTCCGTGAGTTCGAGGCCAGCCTGGTCTACAAAGCGAGATCCAGAACAGGCTCTAAAACTACAGAGAGAAACCCTGTCTCGAAGAGACCAAAAAGACCATCTAATCTCTTGATGTCAGAGGAGAGTTATGATGCAGCTCAGCTGGTAAAGTACTTGCCTAGCATAGCACATAGGAAGCCCTGGGTTCAATCCCAGCACTGCATAAAGCAGTAGGGTACAGCACATCTGTAATCCCAGCCTTCAGTAGGTGGAGGCAGGAGGATCAGAAGTTTAAGGTCATCCTTGGCTATGGCAAGCTTGAGGCTCAGCCTAGGCTACATGAGACTTTTTCAAAAAAAAAAAAAAAAATTTAAAAAAAATTCTGGGAATGAGATGGCTGTGATTAAGAGTACTTGCTGTTCTTCCAGAGGGCCAGAGTTAGGACCCAGCACCCACATCAGGTGGCTCACAACCATCTACAGCTCCAGCTCCAGGGAATCAAGACCTCTGTGGGCACTGCATTCACATGAACATACCCACATGCAGACACACACCTAAACAGCATTAAATACAATAAATATATCTATTTTTAAAAGAACAAGTCAGAGGGGGCTGAAGAGATGGTTCAGTGGTTAAGAGCACTTGCTGCTCTTGCAGAGGACTAGAATTTGGTACCCAGCAACCACATCAAGAAGCTCACGACCCCCTGTACCTCTAGCTCGTCTGCTGGCCTCTGCAGCTACCCACATTCACACACACACACACACAAATTTTACAAAGAAATTTTAATTTTACAAAGAAAAATAAGACAGAATATTAGCATACAAAGTGCTTAAAAGCGCAGAGCCAAACTACACGCTATCTGGGTGACCGTGAGATTATCCTACTACTCAGTATCTCACTTCCTCACCTATAAAACAGAAAAATGAGGTATGTTTTTAAGTTTGAATTACTATTTGTACACCACTTGGAACAGAGTCTGGTGCATAGTGAACATGGCATAAATGTTAATTCAATTATAAGAAACTAGTAGGCCAGGAATGGACTAAAGTTAGACCACAGAGTAAACAGACTTCCAAATTTAAAAACACATATGATTCCTCAAAAGCATTTCATTACAAAAAGATCCCTGAAACTTCTCTCCTGGAATACGCTTTATGAGCTGGATTTAAAACCAAGCAGGGGCTCCTGCCCTCCAGTCACACTCTGTGTTGGTCACTTCCTGCCTGGCAGTACCCAGCTTTAACCCACTACACCTATTCATCAACTTTATCCTTCCAAAAATCGGGTCCTTTAGAAATAGCAAAATGGAGGCCAGGCAGTGGTGGCACACGCCTTTATTCCCAGCATTTGGGAAGGAGAGGCAGGCGGATCTCTGTGAGTTCGAGGCCAGCCTGGGCTACAGAGCGAGATCCAGGACAGGCTCCAAAGCTACCCAGTGAAACCCTGTCTTGATAAACCTAAAAAAAAAAAAAAAAAAAAAAAAAGCAAAAACAAAACAAAACAAAAAAACCCTGTGTCAAAAAACAAAAATAATAGACAGACTGACAGACAGACAGACAGACAGACAGATAAATAGATAACAAAATGTGCTACCACTGCAGATATACCAAAACTGTTTCAGACTGCAGAGACTGTGTGGAGTGTGCCTCCAGTTACTCTGGGAAGATGTGCTCACTGTCCTTTGAGATTATGTAAGTGGAGAAAGTTAAGGCTGCACAAAGTTAGCCAATGCCACATTTTTCCCTGCTTTAAAAAACTGCTCAAACAGCCCATCTACAATCTTCTGAAGCTGCAATGCAGACAGACAAGTATTCTCTGCTCCGCTCAATCTTTCCTTAATGCTATGTCTCACCTGGAGTTTGAGCCTCAAAATTACAACTTTTACCTCAGACATTATCACAACTCTGTATGACTTTCAGATGTCTAACAACTGACAATTAACTCACTTGGATTTTAAACAGCCTACCCAACACACCTTACTGGCAAAGACACTCTGTACAGCACTAAGAAAAACTATTTTACATGTTAGATTATTAACATGTGCAGAATGGAGTAGGTCCTATCAAAACTTTTCTCCCTTACGAAGTGCCTAGAAACAATTTTAACTTTACTCCTCAGTCCTCAGATTTATTTTAGCCTGGTTTAAAATACAAATGAAAATAAGTTTTGTTGGTCTCATGAAAGCATATTCAGGTTTATTTTTGTTTCAAATGCTCTGTATTCAACTTCAACTTATCTAATTCAAAACAGAGCCAATGCAGATTTAGCAACTTCTATTGAGATTAGGTCCATCTCTAACTGGGGCTAAAAGTTTTTTTTGTTCTAATGCATTCCTAGTCTAAATAAAGATTTTAGCAACAATTCTGAAGAGACACCCCCAACTCAGTGTCCTTCGGCTTCTGGGCTTCATCATGCTGAGTTTTATTTACACTATCAACTCTCTCATTGGGCAGACACTGCCCCATCTATCTCAAGTGCGGTAAAAGCAACATAACTCGTCAGACTAATAACCAGCCACTCAGGAGCAAGCTTCAGGTAACAGTTTTGTAATAACCGAATGGTTGTTTTTTTTTTTTTTTAATCAATTTACTCGAAAATAAAGAAGTCATCTCCTAACTTCTGGTATTATCTTTGACAAGCCCAATTTCTGGCCTCTTTCTGGCTGAAGAAGGAAAAGCAAAACAGAAACCGGACCCCTGAGCCTAGAAAGGTAAACTCTGATCCAAGATAAGCTTCTCTCTAGTTGATGGAATCCAAGTAAAAAAAAAAAATCACTTAATTGCCCCTGTATCTGGACTCAATTTCCCCATCCAGCCAAGAGTGACTTACAGAATCCGTCACAAGTGCCAACAGCAAATGTTTACAAACGCTACAGGAATGGACCGTAATAATGAAAAGACCCCTCCCTCGCCTTCAACTTAAGGGGTTAGTTACCTCGTCGTTTCCCAGAGAAAAACAAGAGGCGAGCCCAAGCGACCGGAGCCGGTTGGTGATACTTTCCCCAACTCCAAAGCGGGTGATTAGCAGTTCGGGGCGGGCAGTCACGAGACTGCCAGTCGCTGCCAACGCGGGCTGCTCCCGCTCTCGCCTCCCACGGAAGGGGCGCTGGGAAACCAAAATCCAGCCCGGCTCCTAACCACCCTGGCGGCTCAAGGGAATCCGGGGTGGGTGGAGCGAGAAGCTGGGCGCGCCGCGGCCACCCCAACAGGGCCACTCCTCGGAGCCGTCAGCGCCTCGGCCCCCGGTGCCACGTCCCGGCCTCCGTCCCTCCTCGGGAAGCCCAGGACTCGCCCTCCTGCAGGTGCCCCGGGTGGGCCACACCTCCGACAGTCAGGAGGGGGGCAGTTAGAGCGGTTGGATCAGTTGTCTCCGGACCGGCCGCCCCGGAACCCAAGCCCACCCCGGCCCGGCGGGGCCTGAGACACAGCCGACCGACGGGCGAGCGGGCGGGCGGGCTCCCCGGGGGCAGGCCTCGGCGCCGCCCGCCCGCCCCGACCCCAGGGGCTGCCTCGCTCGGGGCTCACCGCCAACGTGTCAAAAGCGCATGTTCGCCGCCGCTCGGCCGACGTCTCCGCTCCGCTGGCCTGGCCAGGCCCGCCCAGCCGTTCAGCTCGGCTCCCTTCCGCAGCCCTGAGCTCCACTCCGCGTACCCCCGCACCGGGCTCCTCCCCGACACGTCAGGGGCTCCCAGGGTGTCGGAGGCCATTCTGTGACGCACGGGGGCGGAGTCGGGAGCATGCGCAGAGACGCGAGGGCGCGGGGAGGAGCTGTGGGAGGGCCGGCGTCACACGGGGCCGACCCAGGCCCGGCGCGCTGACGTCAGACCGGCGACACAGTCCTGCGCAGGCGCCCCCCCCCGCCACGCCCCTGCAAAGGGGTGGGTGTTAGCCCTCTGCGGTTTTTTTGGAAACTGTGCTGTGGTCGAGGGTAGTAGTCCCCCGGAGTAAGAAGGGAAGCAGGCATAAAGGAGTACTGGCTCCAAAAGAAGCCAGGAAGGATGTGCAACTGTCCGCAGAGTGGGAACTTAAATGGTAAAAGGAACAATTTTAGGGACTTTTGCTGTCTCATGCTCAGTGTGATTCTAATTTCAGCTCTCAGGTTGGAGACACAACATAGCCTAAGACGTACCGCAAGGGGAGCCCAAGAAGCCCAGTTGCACTTTTTAGTATAAGCAAAAAAGGTACAAGATGGATTTTTAAGGAGAACCCAGATCGATGAGGAGCAGAGGAGGATTAGTGGGGTCGGAAGCACCTTGAACTAGACTGTGAAGTCTATAGGGTTTTTAAAACATGATTATGAATTCACTGTGCGGCTTGTTCTGGCAGATGTACCAGTCCCTCCATGTTACCCTCATTGTACAAAGAAGCAGCAAGATGAAGTTGCCCCAAGGTCGCTCAACTACAGCAAGAATTCAAACTCAGAAACCATACTATTATCCACTGCTGTGCTGACAAGGGAAACATAACACCATTTACTGGGCTAGACCACGCTGCTAAGTGCTTTGCATACACTACCCTTTAACCCTCAACAACCTATGAGGTTGGAATCATTAGCTCTATTTTCTATATTGTAACCTAAGACTCATAGGTCTGCTCTCCAGGCCCGCCTAAAAACAGCTTTGAAACTCAGACTGGAGCTCTGCTTTCCTGCTTGAAGCTGTGCTCCGTCTAATCAGATCTCAGGCAGGGAAGTGATTAACGAAGGCTTTCCTCTAGACCCGGTGCCAAGACATGAACATTCCACCCGGAAGAGGAAAAGATAAAGCCTTCAGCTTCTGTCCTGCCTCCTGGCTGAGGTGCTAAGAAACTGAGTCACCTAATGGCAAGCCAGGCCGTTCAGAAAACATTGACATCATCTCCCAGGCTGCTGCCCCTCCCATTTGCTCTGGCCCTAGGACTGGTGTTTGTCAATATCTGTGTGTCATTCCCACCTTAATGAATGGGCTTAGCTTGGCAGAGTTCTCAAAAGTCAAAGGCCCTGCTCTGATCTTCCTCATTAGCCCAGGGGCTGGGATAGGGCCAGAGTCAGCAAACTACCCCACCTTCTTCCACTATGCCAGTCAGTCTCAAGGAAGCACGAGTTATACAACCAGCTTTGTAAGGGTAGAAAAAGCGAGGACTGTCATACCCTTCTACCTTGATAAAGCATTCCAAAGCGATTTGCATAGGTTCCAGTACAAGGTATTTCTTGTACTGAGCCAGAAAGCTTAATCTCTGAGAACATGCATAAATACCACAACATCTTCCCTGCTACAAACTCCAAAATACAAGAAACAGAGATCAAGTTCCACCCCTCAAACAAGTAGAGGGTAATCAGCTACCGGAGGGGAGATCTGGGACCAAGCCCATACTCAGAGAGAATGCTGGGTTTTGGCCCATCACATATTCAAAAAAGTTAATTGTCGTAGTCAGGGTCACCATTGCTGTGATGAAACACCATGACCAAAAAGAAAATTGAGGAAGAAAGGGTTTATTTATTCCATTGTTCATCATCGAACTCAAACAGGACAGGAGCCTGGAGGCAGGAGCTGAAGCAGAGGCCATGGAAGGGTGCTGCTTACTGGCTTCTCCCCCCTGACTTTCTCAGCCTGCTTTCTTATAGAATCCAGGATCCTCCTGCAATGATCACTAATTAAGAAAATGCCTTACAGCCAGATCTTATGGAGGCATTTCCTCAATTGAGGTTCCCTTCTTTCAGATAACTCTAAATCTAGTGTGCCAAGTTGACGTAAGACTAGCCAGCACAATAATACAGTGCATAAAAAACTGCTACAAAAACTTTGAGGAGATGGAACATATTTAATAAAGCAAGTAAATAAGACACCTCACCAGGCAGTGGTGGTGCACACTTTTAATCCCAGCACTCGGGAGGCAGAGGCAGACAGATCTCTCAGTTCGAGGTCAGCCTGGTCTACAGAGTAAGTTCCAGGGCAGCCATGACTGTTATATAGAGAAACCTTGTCTTGGAAAACATAAATAAGACACCTCAAAATCAAAGGCTCACTGGATTTGCTGGTGCATGCCTGTAATCTGGGAACGTTCCAGGCCAGCCTAAACCATTACATAAGAACACCTGACTTAAAAAAACAAAGCACACACAGAGAGAGAGAGAACTAATTTTTCTATATCCCTTTAATCAGTATGGTGCTGGTGTTGGTGTTGGTGGTGTTGCTGTTTTGTTGTTTTGGGTTTTTTTTGGGTTTTTGGTTTTTTTGTTTGTTTGTTTGTTTTTGTTTTTTGTTTTTGTTTTGTTTTTTTTTTGGTAATCCTTAAGGGTACAGATGAGGAGGTCAAGTGAGGAATACTCAGTTGCTAATGATCTGCCTCATATATCCACCTGTCTCTCATGCCTAAACCCCAACAGATCTTCCTTTTGTTTCAACTGAAATTTCTAGAATGATTTACATGTTTGTCAACTGTGCCGTGTTCTAGTCATTGAAGCACAAAGCCTTCATCAAATCTACCTTAATGGTCCCCCTCACTGGCTTACAATTCACTCATATGATCACCATGCTCCAGCGACTTTCCCTTTATAAACTCAAGTCCCTTCCTCTCCCACTTCTTTCTCCTGCATTCCCCGCAGTCCAAAGCCTCCTATTTGCCTGTACTTCCCACCCCTCCCTTGACTGACATCTTGTTCCACCCTAGCAGTCTCTCCATAGCTAACAGAACAGTATCACTAAAATTCCACTGCATCCAGAGCATCCCTGCTTCAAAGCTTGACTTGTCTCCTTGTTACTTTTGCCATGAAGGTGAACTACAGTCTGGTGATCAGAGCCCACAGAGCAGCTCCAACCCACCCCAGCAGTCTGCATCCTGCAGGTCACCTGAGTCTGAGCAGACTGACCACTGTGTCCTCCTGTGGCGGTTTGAATGAGAATGGCCCCTAGGCTCATATATTCTATGTTTGCTCCCCAGATGGTGGACTTCGTTTAGGAAGAGCTGGGGGTTGTGGGCTTGTTGGAGGAGGTGTGTTGAGGTTTCAAAGGCCCAGGCCAACCCAGTCTTACTCTTCCTCTCCGCCTCCTGCCTGCAGACCAGGATGCAAGCTCTGTCCAAGGCCATGCCTGCCTACCACCATACTTCCCACCACGATAATCATGACTAGCCCTCTAAAATTATAAGCAAAGCCCTAGTTAAATGCTTCCTTCTATAGGTTTCCTTGGTCATGGTGTCCCTTCACAGCACTAGAATAGTAACTAAGACACACCCCCGGAAGACAGTCCCCTTCCTCTCAAGTACCATCTTATCAACTCCTACCACCTTGTGCACTGTGACTACCTCCGAAGCTAGGTCTGCCACCTTTCTCTCTACCTTCTTTAGGTTCATTCACAAGCTTCCTCCTCCAGGGAGCCCTCCCTGATATCCAAAACACAAATAGAGTGCCACATAGTTAAAAGAAAACTTACAAGCACTGCCTTTGGGGCCCAACAAGATGGCTGAGCTGGTAAAGTTGCTAGGCTATGGTGTATGACCACCTGACTTGATCCCTGGGTACCACATGGTAGAGGGAAAGAACTAACTGCTCAGGTTGTCTTCTGACCTCAACATATGTGCCATGACAACACTCACAAATAAACACATAACCAGTGTGGGCTAAAGGAGGCCTCACCGGTGAAGTACACACTGCCCTTCCAGAGGACCTGAGTTCTGTTCTCAGCACTTGTATCGCGTGAGCGCGCAGGCATACACACACACAAACACACACACACACACACACACACACACACACACACAGACATACACGTGCACACACATATAAAAATTATTTTAAATAAGTATTGCCAGGCCTGATGTTGCACACCTTCAATTCCAACATTTAAGAGGTAGATGCCAGCCTGGTCTATATAGTGAGTTCCAGGCCAGTCAAGGCTACCTAGTGAGACCCTGTCTCAAAAATAAATAATAATAATAATAATAATAATAATAATAATAATAAATACTAAAAAAATTTAAATACTGCTTTTTAGTCATAGAGATATCCACCCCCTGCCACCACCACCCAAAAAATACCCGCTAAGTTCTAGCAAGGTAAGGGCATGTTAGTTATTGTAATATCCCCATAGCACCAGGCACTTGGAAAACACTCATTTAACATGCTTAGGGAAAAAAATAAAAGAATGAATTGATGGTTAGGTAGTTATAACTCTAATGCAAGACTAACAGAACTTTCTGGAAAATGTTCCAAATCCTGAAAACTAACACAGAGATTTTCAACTGTATAAAAGGCTTCATGAGCTGGTGCCAGGTTGCAGAGGAGCCAGGATTCAGGTCATAGCTCAGGCCTTGACCTTCATTCACATTTTAAACCTGACCTTTAGCATCTACACTCTTGTCATTTGAGACAGCAGTAGCATAGGACTGAAGTACCTCTGGCTTCAATCCCAGCACTTGGGCAAAGGCAGGTGGGTCTCTGTAATTTCAAAGCCAGCCTGGTCTATATAGCAAGTTCCAGGACAGCCAGGACTACATAGAGACTCTGTCTCAAAAAAAAAAAAAAGACAATAGTAATATTATTTTTTTTACTGTTATAAAAATAAATTGTTGGAGTTGCAGATGTATCTCAGTTGGTAGGGTGCTTGCCTGGCATGTGTGAAGTCGTGAAGTCTGGGCTCCATCACCAGCACTGTGCAGACAAGGTATGGTGGTGTGTGCCTGTAATCCCAGCACTCAAGAAGTAGAACCAGGGGGCTCGAGAGATGGCTTAGAGGTAAGAGCAC